AGAATTAATGTATATTTTATTTTTTTTTAAGGAGGAGAAGAATATCGAATGCAAAAATTAAATCAAAGTATGGATAATCTACAAAGAACATATGGAAATGGAGTAAGTAGAAAGACAAAAAAAAAGACAGCTATTCCATATTTTTCGACTTTGTGATGACCTGGGAGAAGAGTAACGTGGAGAAGCTTTTAAATCGTTGGATCGGACGGTCTGTTCTCTATACGCACAAAGTTTTAGATCAAAAAGTCCTCCGAGAAGCTGGACCTCTAGAGAAAAAAATCGATGGCTTAGTCAAACTTAAATTCTTTTAAGGTTTTTGATTAGAACATTATGCAATATCTATAAGCAAAGAAACCATTGAAACCGGAAGAGAGTATTTAAAGAGATTTCCTCGTAAGTGATTAGAATGTTCATTCTGTACTTTACAGTGCCCGACTCGGGTCGGGTCGGGTCACAAAAAAAGGGACTCATGTCGAATACTGGTACTTTATCTTGTTTATTCAAGACTAATGTTCTGAACTTTTCATCCGATTGTATATTTTGATTACGCTAAAGCACACATTTCGTGTTTCAGTCGGTGTCTATTCTGTACCTATGAAACTGAAAGAGAATCAGAGATATATTTGTTTAACTCTAGAGATAGCGCCTATTGATTCCAAAATGTTTGAGTCTGAATTACACCGAAGATGCGAGATATTTTTACTATGTCTTTAGACTAGGCTCATCAAAGGAAATGGATATATGTTTTTCAGTTTAACCTGATGATGTCTTTTGTGAGATATTTAAAATCTTTTTCTTTTTAGACAATGTCATCTTATGGTGATCCTCATGCCGATCTCTATGCTACTGTACATAAAAATCGACCACAACAAGTTCAACCGGCTACATGGGATCAACTTGGACAAGTATCCACATCACCTGATTCTTGGGTATAATAATGTTTTTCCTTTGCTTTTCAATCCAAAAAAAAACATGTCAGATTTTAAAACAACAGAACGAAAATCAAAGGATTCTTTTTTTATTTGTTTGTTTATTCTTAATTGTTGTGTGTTGTGCAATGCTCATTTTGAATTACCATCATACGCATATATATATATCTTCTTTAATAAAATACAATGTATATGGGTAGTAATAATTATGTTTGTGTGTTTGTACGTTTTTTGTTTTTCTTGTCGAGTATCAATTAAGATGTGCGAGTTAATGAACACATCAAATTCTTTTTTCTTTCTTTCTTTCTTATCGATGTATATAGAAAACAAAAGAAGTGTTATTTTCTCTTTACTCAGGTTTTTGTGTGTGCGTGTGTGTTTGTTTATTCTTAATATTCTTTTGTCGTATTTCTCTTTTCTTTTTTATTATTAAAAATAAATCATCGAACAATATATAATTCTTTTAGAAAAGCATGTCTTCATTAAACTTATTATAATAATATCATTTATTACTGGAAATTTTGATTGTTCAAAGTTCGATTGAATTCGGACAATATTAACAATAGTTGAAAATTGTACTGTTTTAATGGTAATAGAGGTTTCCTTGTTTCTAAACTAATGTCCATTTCAGAGTTAAATGGACGTGGGCGTTTTTTGAATAACTTTAAAACAAAAAGAGAGAAATGACTCGGGCTTTCAGCACTGTCTAGAACCAATATTACTGCATCTTTTCATAAAGTCCACGAAAAAATCCAGTTGCTTTTCTGATGGGATACAGCATTGGTTTTAAAGATGAACTTAATCCTCTTTGAAAACAATATGCTTTCTAAACTATAGGGTGTGGGGTGGGTGTGGGTGTAGGTGTGAGTGTGAGTGTCGGTGTGGGTGTGGGTGTGGGTGTGAGTGTGGGGCACGTAAGTTAAGTTAGCACCAGATTCGACTATTTCTTGTCCCGATTCGTTTTCTTATCTGTGTTAACTCTCTAGGTGCTTGTGTTAGGTGCAGAATTTAATTCTCTATCGAATGGTACCACTTTCAAGGGGGGTCATCGGGCAAAAACCACTACTTTCACACGAAATACTCACTTTACTCCTGTGTATTAATAACAAATATCTTGTATTTCTTGTCCGGATTCGCTCTATGACTTCTCATAACTTTCTAACCTAGTGTGTTGGATGCAGAATTTAATTCTCCATCCAATGGTACCATTTTGAGAGGGTGTTATCGGGCAAAAATGCGGGATTATACCTCAAATACTGGCTAACACCCAATTCTGAGAGTAATTCTTG